CACGTGGGCCTTGCAGGCCTCTGTTGCATCGCGTTTCTACGACCCGATGTGTTCGTTTCTCGTTGTGCTCGTTTGGCCGTGAACCGTGTGCCGAGAGTCAGCGGTCGTCTCGATCTGCCGTTTCCTCTGGTTGTTGAGAATCGCGGGAAAAAATGTGTTTCCATCCCGGGAAGGTTTTTGGATTGTCCTGCAGACCCGACGCGGGCCTCCGAGGGCCCGAAACGGTGAAAGATTGGCCGCCGCATTTGGTATGCTGGATGGCGCCAGGATCTGGAGTCGGAGAAGAGGCCACACCTCTCCTGGGGCGCGCTCCGACCAGGATTTCGAGGCGCATCCGTCCGTTGCGTCGCTGGCGAGGATTCGAGGCAGCTCCAGCCGTGGCGACGTCGGCGCCCCCACGAGACCAAAGAGCGCTCCCAAGCCCAGAGCTTCGATCCTCCTCGTCCGCACCCCAGGCCCGACGCCTTAACTTCTTTTCAATGGGCGGGCCCTGGCCCCCCCCGACCCCTCGTCGGGACCGCTGTCGTTCCTTCTGATTTCTGAGTTGACCCCAGAGCCCGAAATCTGGAGGACCGAAATGAGTACACATTGTACATTTCTAAGTCTTCGAGGGTTCTTTGATTTTTTGGGAGCCAAGATCCTTTCATTTCTAATTGTCCTATCCTGGGCCTCTTCCTGGCCACTAGGGGGCCAGGAACAAATAGAAACGAGCACAATTAGAAATGAGCACGATTAGAAATGAACTACGTGTGCGGACAAACTTGGTATGAAGACTAACAGCAGTTCCTGTCCGTTTTGAACAGGACTTGCTGTCGGCGTCGCCGTGGACGTGGTCCTCTTGAGACAGCCAGGCGGCGGCGCCACCCCAACATGCTTATGTTATATGTGCGTCTCCCCCCCGTAGGCGATGCGCGCACCGAAACATCTTATAGTATACGTGTCGTGGCGGGCGTTTTCTGGCCACACCGCTCGAGAAACGATATACTACAAGATGGTTCTACCATATGTTCACCCGGGCGCGCGCCTCTAAGGAGAACATATACATCGGCGCTCCGAAAGTTATTCTGATTTGAGAGGCACGGCGCCGCGCGCGAATGCAGCGCAAACGCTATGATGGAAGGGCACGGCAATGCATACCCCCTGGACAGGCGAGAGCAGCCGCGCCCCCGTGCGAACCCCGATCCCGCGCGGGGCGCGTTCCCGTTGACAATGGCTCACCCGGGAAACCGTTTTTCTTATGTAGGAAGTCCTGAGCGGTCTGCCCACCGGCGGCTCCTTCGGACGAGGCCCGGAACCACCGAGAAACCGTTTTTGATAGGAAGTTCTTGGCCGTTTGCCCATGTTCGGTTTCTTCGGAGTGGGCTCGATGACCTCGAGAACGATGTTTTGGCAAGGGGGCCTACGCGGTTTGCGCATTTTCGGGTCGTTCGAACCGGACCCGAAATTTGTTTGGCGCACGTCCTATGGGATTTGGCCACTTTCAGGTCGGCCCGTAAACTTTTCGGGTCGTCGCATGACCGAACCCGAAGTTTGTTTTGATAAGGTCCTATGCCGTTTGCTGTTTTTCGGGTCAGCACGTCGTTTGGGATTTAAAATTTCAGATCGGGAAGGGGAACCCGATCCCGCGACCCCGGGCGGGGGTTAGGCTCTGCCCTTGCATTGCGCTGGGCCCTTCCGGCCAAACGGGGCGCTGGGCTGCCCATCGGCGCGCCGACTCTGCCCTCGCGACATCGTCCCCATCCGCCCCCGGGCTCCGCGAGTCCTATCCTGCGCGCGCCACCCCAGATGGCCGCGGCGAGCACGGCCGCGAAATAGGGAAACTTTCCGATCGGCGCAGTCGTAGTAGGATGTCTTTGTGCGTCCCATATAGGTAATTCTTCCACCTCCGACTTTTGTTTTTCGCGCTTTGGACCTCCATCTCGGCGTGCGCTTCGCCTCGGGCGGCCCTGCGTCATGGCCTGGGGATTCCGGCCGAAGCGTTCGTGCTTTCCTGGCCCGCGTTCCTGGCGGCCACGTCTCGACCGTGTCCTCAATTCGGGTATGCTTTTCTACAGGAGGAATATCCGAAAAAAAAAGGTTTTTAATAATAATCAGGGGACGATGTTTCTACTATGTTTGAGCATGTGTTGGGTCGTTGTTGGGTATGCTTCATTTTTCACACAAAATCCGCTTGTAGGAGGACATGTCCGACCTGACCGTATCCTCTAGTCGGGCATGCCTTTCTACATGTATGATGTTCCAGCTTATTTTAGGCTGGGCTACCAGCGACAGTTTCGAGCGCCAAAAAAATACAGAACATTGAGGGTTCCGTGTCGGACCTTGGGAGGCGACGCTCGTTCGACACTGTTTCGATACTTGTCGGGGTGTTCGCAATTATTCCCAACCCTCCTTGGTTGGGTATTCGTTTTGAACAAAACAATGCGGTCTCCAGTCCTCCTCCCGCCTCTCGCCTCTCGCGTTCCGTTTTGTCTCCTCTTGCTTTGCGCGAGCCTGGCCATTCCGAGGAGGCTGTGATCATCGAAACTGTCGCCACTTTCAAGGACAGCTGGGGAGGCCAGCAAAGTGAGTACCCACCGCAGATCAGAACTCGACCTCGCCATCCCTGGGGGGCTGCGGTTTGCGAAATTGACGCCACTTTCGAGGGTCGTTGGGGAGGCCCGAAAAATGGGCACCCACAGCGGATTTAAACTAGACCTCGCCATCCCTGGGGGGTTGCGGTCATTCAAATTGTCGCCAGGTTCGACGGTTGTTGGGGAGGCTAACAGAGTGGGTACCCGCCGCAGATTCAAATTCGACCTCGCCATCCTTGGGGGCTGCGATTTGTGAAATTGTCGCCACTTCCGAGGGCTGCTGGGGAGGCCAACAAAGTGGGCACCCGCCGCAGATTCAAAAACTAGACCTCGCCATCCCTGGGGGGCTGCGACCTGTGAAATTGTCGCCAGCTTCGAGGGCTGCTGGGGAGGCCAACAAACTTGGTACCCGCCGCAGATTCAAATTCGACCTCGCCATCCCTGGGGGGCTGCGATATGTGAAATTGTCGCCGCTTTCGAGGGCTGCGGGGTAGGCCAACAGAGTGGACACTTGCCGCAGATTCAAACTAGACCACGCCATCCCTGGGGGGTGCGGTCTGTGAAAGTGATGCCACTTTCGAGGGCTGCTGAGGAGGCCAGCGCAGTGACGTCCTTCGCGGTTTCAAGTTTGACCTCGCCATCCCTGGGGGGGTGCGATGTGTGAAACTGTCACCATTTCCGGGGGCTGCTGGAGAGGCCAACAGAGTGGGTACCGGCCGCCGATCCAAATTAGATCTCGTCATCCCTGGGGGGCTGCGATCGGTGAAACGGTCTTCACTTTCGAGGGCTGCTGGGGGGGGCCAATGCAGTGACGTGCTACGCAGATTCAAACTAGACCTCGCCATCCTTGGGGGGGTTGCGAGCTGTGAAATCGTCGCTAGTTTCGAGGGCTGCTGGGGAGGCCAGCGCAGTGACGCTCTACGCAGATTCAAACTAGACCTCGCCATCCCCTGGGGGGCTGCGATCTGTGAAACTGTCGCTACTTTCGAGGGCTGCTGGGGAGGCCAGCGCAGTGACGTCCTACACGGATTCATACTAGGCCTCGGTTTCCTTGGGTGGGGTGGGGGGGCCTGCGATCTGTGAAATTGTCGTCACGTTCGAGGCGTCCTGGGGGGTCCAGCATAGTGACGTCCTACGCAGGTTCATTTCAGACCTCGCCATCCCTGGGGGACTGCGATATGTGACATTGTCGCCAGTTTCGAGGGCTGCTGGGTGGTCCAGCACAGCGACGTTCTACGCGGATTCAAATTAGACCTCGCCATCCCTGGGGGGCTGCGATCTGTGAAATTGTCGCCACTCTAAGGGGCTGCTGGGGGGTCCAGCACAGTGACGTCCCACGCAGATTCTAATTTGACCGCGCTATCCCTGGGGAGCTGCGATCTGTGAAACTGTCGCCACTTTCGACGGCTACTGGGGGGTCCAGCAAAGTGACGTCCTGCGCAGATTCAAATTCGACCTCGCCATCCCTGGGGGGCTGCGATTTGTGAAACTGCCGCCACTTTCGACGGCTATTGGGGGGCACCGCATAGTGACATCCTACGCAGATTCAAATTCGACCTCGCCATCCCTGGGGGGGTGCGATCTGTGAAACTGTCGCCACTTTCGAGGCGTCCTGCGGGGTCCAGCATATGACGTCCTACGCGGATTCATACTAGACCTCGCCATCCATGGGGGGGGCTGCGATCTGTGAAATTGTCGTCACGTTCGAGGCGTCCTGGGGGGTCCAGCATATGACGTCCTACGCGAATTCAAATTCGACCTCGCCATCCCTGGGGGGCTGCGATCTGTGAATTTGTCGCCACTTTCGAGGTCTGCTGGGGGGGTCCAGCGCAGTGACGTCTTTAGCATATTCAAATTACACCTCGCCGTCCTTGGGGGGCTGCTGGGGGGTCCAGCATAGTGACGTGCTACGCAGATTCGAATTCGACCTCGCCATCACTCGGGGGCTGCGATCTATGAAACTGTCGCCACTTTCGAGGCCTGCTAGGGGGCTCAGCATAGTGGGGTCCCCGCGGCGGAGTCTAATGGGACCTCCCAAATGCTGGTCGCAGAAATACATACGTCCATGTCTCGTCATCACCCCCTTTATGAAGTCGCCCAAGCTACTCATGCCCCGCATTGCGCAGGGTTTGGGTACGTCGCCAGGGTAATGTTTGGGATGTGGTCCTGCAGTACGATGGGAGCAACATAACCATACAGGAGGAATATGCAATAACAGTAAACAATCAGTCTGGTGACGATTTCTCGTGCTCTTCTGACTACTCTTGCTCATGTTTTGCTCGTCTGACTACTCTTGGTTAGCTGTTTAACATGCTTCATATTTCTTCTCAAACCCGCCTGTAGGAGGACACTGCCCGACCCAAACTCTTGGCCCACGCTCTCGTGGCCACGCTTCGACGGCAGCCCCCCTCCCTCCCCGGAGACAAAAAGGACGTCCCGGTGATCATGGTCGGCGCGGGGGCCGGCGTGGCGCCTTTCCGCGGGTTCTGGGAGGAGCTCCGGCGCGGGAAGCAGGCGGCCCCGGCGGCCCTCTTCTTCGGCTGCCGGCACCCCGACGAGGACCGCGGCGGGGAGGGGCGACCAGCCAGAGGGCCAGGCCCGGCCGATCTTGGGCCCATGATCGCAGTGTCGTTCATCTGATCCCAGGAGGGAAAAAACACACAGACACAATTAATCCTCGATTCCTTAGAAAATATTGGAAAATACGGGAAGTGGGAGAGAAGACAGAAACCCAGAAAATATGGGAAGACATGGGGAATCCTGTTATTTGTGTGTATTTATTTGTGTGTCCCAGGGCCCCTTCACGATCCCTATCCCCTTCCCATCCACATCTCGAGCCTCACCGTCTCACCACCTCAGAAATCCTAAGAGAGCAGCCTGTATCCCCATCCAGGTGGGTAAATCGGCCAGCGGGGCCCAGCGCACGCTGGTGGAGATGGGGATCAACGATGCTCAGGATCGGAGTATACAGTGGGGGCTCGACTCGACCACAAGAAAACTTCCACACAAGAAGCCCAACCCTGAGACCCCAGGACGTCCATTGGTCCTTGGTGTGGGAACGCCACGCTCTCCATCGCAGAGCCATCGAGACCCGAGAGGCCCGGGGTGCCCTGGAGAGGCGAGCAGGGTGTTTCTCTTGGCCTGCGTCTCCACTATATGCCTTCCTGCCCCGGACAGGAGGGCGCAGCCGTGACTTGCGCTCAAGACGCCCCCACCCCGTCCTGCGGCGCCCGAGGAGTCCTCGGTGCCCCTGAGGATTCCAACAGGATTCCAGTAGCATTTCAATAAGACGCCAATCGGATTCCAATCTATTCCGATGTTGTTCTGATTTGTTTCCAGTAGGGCCCCTCAGGGTCCTAGTATGATTCCAACAAGATCCCAATCATATTCCAATAATATTCCAATCTGGAGTCCAATAGGATTCCAATACGAGTCCAATCAAGTCCCAATCGGATTTCAATAGGACTCCAATCGGAATCTAATGAGACCCCAACCCGATTACAGTAGGATCCCAATCGGATCCCAATAGGATTCCGATAGTATCCTAAGCAGATTCCAGACCGATTCCATTAGTCTTCCGATCGAAACCCGATCGTATCCCCAGAATATCCCAGTCAGATTCTAATTGGATGTCCAACAAGATTCGAGGAACATCCCAATCGGATTTCAATCGAATTCCTAAGGGCTCCAATAGGGATCCAATCAGGTCCCAATTGTACAATTAGATCCCAGTGTACTCCAATCAGATCCCAATCAGACTCTATTAGGATCCCGATCGGAGCCAACCAGGATTTCCATCAGACCCATCCTTCCTGCCCCTCTTCCCCCCAGCGGGAATTATTTCCTCTGAGCTGCGGTGGTAGAATAGCGCGGCCGGTGCGTTGGGGGTGGCATGGTCTGCTCCTCAGAGCAGCGGGAAAATCATGGTTTGGTAAAGGGTCTCATATTGAATCCGCATCAGACTCTCCCCTCTTTCTCTCGTTGTTCTTTCTTTCGTAACCTCTCTCTCTCTCTCCTTCGCTCTCTTTCGTTTGTTTCCGATCGCTGTCCCACAGGTGACCAGGAATCCGATAGGATTCCAATTGGATCCCAGTGAGGTTCCAATCGGGTTCCAATGTTTTCTGGGTCCTCCCTCTCGCACAATCCAATATGTTCATTTATAACTGTCTTGTTTAGGGCGCTCGGCACGCGCGCTGGCTAAAGGAAGCATGAGCCGGATGAATGGAAAATCAACGGGGAGTTCGCCTCAGGACCCAAAGAAGCTGAAGGTCGAGGCGTCCGGGAGGATCGAGGAGATGTTCGAGAGCCTGACTTTGAAGATCGACAGCCTCACCACGAAGGTTGACTTCAACATCACGACCGCTCAGGAAGCGAAGGCCGAAGCCGCGGCCGCTAAACAGTCCGCGATTGAAACCTAGCTCCATACGGCTCAGCTGGAGGAGAAAATCAATAAGACGACCAGAGGCTCGACGACATCACGAAGTAGATCGAAGCTGGACCTAAGCCCTGTCCCAGAACGCGAAGCACCTCTCGTACAAGCAAAAGCGACAGCAAACAGGGGAAGGAGGATGGGGAGAAGGAGGCCGACGATGACGAGGTGCGTGCACGTCAGTGTGTCGCACTGGGTTTCAAGGAGCGCCTCGAGGCCGAAAAAGTCACCACCGACATTGAGCGCATGTTGCAGACAATTTTGGGTGAAGGGCACGGGGCCAAGGTCGAAGCAGTTACAGACCCGTGCAGGTTCGGAATGGTCACGTTCCCGAGCGAAAAGGCCAAGAAAGAGTTCCACAAGACGGTGCGGGACAAGCTGGCCATGGATGAACACGCACTGGGCTCACTACAGACGAAAGGGGTCGGGATAAACAGTTGGGGTTTTGCAAACATTTTCTTGCTAAGCATCAAAGCTGCAGTAACAAGATCGTTTGTATTATTTGGCCAAAGAAGATGGTGGTGGTGAAGGGCATGGAGGAGAGGTCCGTAGAGAAGAAAGTGGCATGGTACGACGAGACTGGTACTTGGCGCACTTCTTCGACGGCGCAATCCGTGAAGAAGGAGGTGGAGGACGCCATGGCCAAGTGGTGGTCACGGGTTGACCCGGAATTGGGCACGGAAAGCGAGTGAACGTCGACTGCCATGCGGCATGCGCCTCGCAAAGACGACGTTTTGGCGAGGAGCGGTACCAGTAACAGTGCGACCCCTTCAACATCGATTTTGGGACAAGCGGGGAGTGGAGGAGGAGGAGGAGGAGGAGGCAGAGGCAAGTATCAATATGGTTCTGGAGACGTGCCTTTCGGCATATCTTTGGCACCAGTCGACGCGCATCGCGATCCCCGCCCAGGCACGGCGTGCCAAGGCAAACCAGCACCAGCTCAGACACCCGAGAAGGAGACAAACCTGGCCATTTTCCACAAAAACGTCAGAGGGCTAACGGACACAGGCCGGATTGCAGAGCTGATCGCGGAGCTTGGCAGTACAAGGTGGGATTTTGTTACGATCAACGAGGCCATGCGGACGGAGCAGAACGAGTATTGGATCACGGGGCACGGGCACGTCTTCATGGCTTGTGGGAATTTGAAGCCAACCCGTGGAGTGGCAATTTTGGCACACAAAAGATGGCGTCATGATATAGCATCGCTTCACCCCATCAACGAGCGGGTCGCATCTGCCGACGTCTCGGATAGCAAGTTTCACTTACGCCCTGTTGCAGCTTATTTCCCTCATTCTGGGCATGCAGACGCACGCGTGCAGCAGCTTTACGACGTCTTGTCCAAATTGCACAGCGAGGCTGATCCGAGCAACATGTGCTTCGTCATCGGTGCAGACATCAACGCGCAAGTTGGCGAAGCTCACGGCACTTCGCGAAGCACTGGTCTCTACGGATTCGGCGTGGAGAATGTCCGGGGGCAGTGGCTCAAAAATTGGGATTCTGCGAGGCGGCTGATATTGACAAATGCACGCTGCAAAAAACAGCCAGATTTACGATGGGCGCCTTGTGGGCCAGACAATATTCACCGGCAACTCGACTATCTAGTGGTGACCAAGAGATATTGGAAAACCGTGAAAGACAGTGGCAGTACACCTGTTCTTGATTGGGGGTCTGATCACCGATCTGTTTATCTTCGGAGCACGGCCTTGCGCAAGAGGACTGGTGCACGTCGACGGCGGAAGTCGCGGTCAGCGTCGCGAAGACCGAGGTGGCCACCAGATGATCACAGACGGTGCCAGGAGCATTTGTCTGGACAGTTCGCGGGGATTTTGGGTGATAGCCCTTCGGCGGCTCGGCCGGGCACCCAGCTCATCGAAGAAGCCAGTCGGACGTCCATGAAGGCATCCACGGACCCTTTGGAGGTTCACGCGAAACCAGTTAGGACGTCCAGGCCCACCAATCTTCTCTCTCAAAGGCGGAACGCCGCCGAAGACGACCAAGACGAGAGAGACGCCGACTCGACAGAGAAATCCGCCGGACCATCCGAGCGGAGAAGCGCAGCAAGCGCAGAACAGAGATCAATTGAATATTTGCCAGCTATCGCAACTTGAAGAAGATAGCAGGTATCAAACGCAGAGGAAGGATATCGTGATTAGGACATGGCGGATGCAAAGGGGACCGCCGAATACGACCGACAAAAGATTGCCGATGTCTTCGCGGAGTTCTACAGCGAGCTGCGCAAAGACGCGCGCCAAAACAGTGGCAGCAACGACCCCTCGCATTCAAGTTCATCGCCTGCGCGGCCACCGATTGCACCGTTCAGCGTGGAAGAGTTACCAACGGCGCAAAGTCAACGGACGCCAACGGCATAGCTGCGGAAATGTTGAAACATGGTGGAGTCGACTTGCACCGGATTCTTCTTGTGATGTACAATGATATCGTCAGCAAGCAGGCGCCAATTCCAGACACGTGGAAACGCACTGTGGTGAAGGTATTGCACAAGAGCGGCGACGTGAACCTGCCTAAGAACTACCGGCCAATCTCTGTCATTCCGATGCAATACAAGTTGTTTTCGAGTTTATTGTACAATCGGTTGCTACCAGTACTTGACAAAAGGCAAAGCCCAGATCAAGCAGGATTCAGACCGGACCGATCGACGACGGACTATTTGTTTACAGTTGCAATTCTACAGGGGACCGCGGACGAATGGCAAATACCGTTATGGGCAGCGGCGATCGATTTCAAAAAAGTTTCCGATATTGTCACACACAGAGGCGTATGGGACGCACTACAACAGTAAGGCGTGGACAATGGGTATATCGATTTACTGCAGTGCTTGCGCCGGGGACAGACCGCGTCTGCGCGCACAGACCGAACAAGAGCGAAGTTCGAAATCCAACGTGGCACCAAGCAGGGCGATCCGCCCAGCTCGTTACTTTTCAACAGTGTATCAGAATACGTCATTGGTGGTCTGAAGAAGCAATGGGAACGGGCTCGAATTGGCATTGAGCTTCGCAAGGTTCACAGCGCGCGGCTGTCAAACCTACGCTTCGCAGATGATGTTTTGCTCGTTGCGTCTTCCCTCGAACATGTCTCTCGACTGGTTGAAGATTTGGCAAGGGAGGCTGCTTTGGTGGGCCTGGAGCTTCACCCAGAACGTTCATTGCGTTGGCGGGCGTTCTCAAATACCAGACTTCGCGCGCATTGCTGGGATGAGCATTGGAATCTTGAGCGCGGAAGGTTCCGCGAAATATTTGGGCAGAAAGCTGTGCTTCCGTGAACCGAACCGCATGGAGATCGAGGGTCGGATATCTGGCGCCCGGGGAAAGTTCCACGCCCTCAAGCAAGAGTTGATCGGAAAACGTTATTCTTTGAAAGACCGGATCCGTCTCTTCAACGGCACAGTGACACCGACTATCTTGCTCGGGTCGGAGGCTTGGGCGACGACCAAAGAACTGGAGAACCGCGCCCGGCGTACGCAGCGACAAATGCTGCGCATTGTGATTCATTTGCCAAGGAGGTGGCTTGTGACGACCAGACGAACAGCGAGTCCCCACCCGTCCCCCCCATCGATCTCCACGTTCAACACGCAGCCGGCTCTCGCAGCAGACAGACAGCGGGCGCGATGTATCCAGTGTGCCATCTCCTATTCAGCCAGAGACAGACAGTAGCGACGAAGAGCACCTCGTGGAATTGGAGCCTTGGACACAATGGATCAAAAGATGTACACATGAAGCCGAACGAGTTCTACACGATCTACACATGGAAGATTGGACTCGTCAGCAGCGCCGGCGAAAATGGAATTTCTTCGAAAATTATCTATTGCATCTGGACCCGAATGGGCGCGCAGAGCCCTATGGTGGGAACTGGGTGATCATCCCGATCATGGCGCTCGACGGCGACAGCGCCGACCTAAACGGCGTCGGCTGGATGATTTATTCCACTTCTATAGTTTGCACCTTATTAAATGGGACGACGCGGACAAGGACACTCTGATGGAGGCCGGGGCGCCATGTGACGCATTGCATAGTCTTATACGCATTGCGCAGTCGAGTGCATGGAGGAACCTAGAGCAGGAATTTGTTGAATTTTCGTTGTAATCATGTTGCCACGCATTGTCTGTGCGTTTCACCTCAACCTGGGCGCTTCGGCCCCTCCCTGCGGCAACCTCGCGGTGCATTCTCGCAGGTCGCAGTTCGCAGTTCGCAGTTCCAATGTCCCCCCGTCGGATTCGAATCGAATTCCAACCGGGCCCCTGTGCCCCAGCAGAATTCCAACAGGATCCAGCTGCTATCCCAGTCGGATTCCAATCGGAGTCCGTCGTTGTCGCCCGACGACGCGCTCGGCCGCGCGACCTCTGCGCGCGCGCCGCCACCGATGCGCCCAAGCACGAGTCCTCCGCTTGGGCGTGGGCGGTGGCGCGGAGTCTCTGCGAGGAGCTCGAGCTCGCGTCGGGGGCCTGCGGAGTTCGGTCTCCCCGGCCTCGAGGAAGGCCCGGGTGTCCCGGAAGCCCCGGGCGAACATGGCTGCCGTCGAGCTCGTGCAACAGACCTGCGGGCCGCCGTGGGCCGCAGCTCCCGCGGCAGGTGCTGGCTGCCAGGCATTGCGCAGTGCGTGCTCGGCTGCGCAGCGGGCCGCCTCGTCGCACGCAAGATCCTCAGCGCCCCCTTTGGGCGAGCGGCGCTACGACTGGGACTCCGCTCGCGCAGTCGTCGCCGAGACTGCCCTCCTGCTTCGCCATCGGTTTGGGGGCAAGTTCGAGCAGGTTGTCCGCGATGGAGACCGAGGCGCCGTCGCGGACGTCGCCCAGGGGGCAGGGCAGGGCGCGCGTCCTGCAAACGCTCCATATCGGGGGCGCTCGGCTATCCGAAGCGGAGATTCCGCGCGTGCACCGTCATGTCTCGCGTGACAGATCTGCGTCGGCCTTGGTCTCGCTCGACG